TATATATATATATCTGTCTGTCTGTCTGTCTCTCTCCCTTCCCCTCTTTGCGCCAAGTAAATAACTCGAATGCAATAAAGTTTTCTACCTAGAAATTCGGCATGCTCTGATTAAAAAATAAAAATAAATATATAGTCTACAACTATCAGCACCTTTGGTGTAGCGGATAGGTGCTTTGTTGTCGCGCGCAGGAGACAGGAGTTCGATTCCCGAGTGAAGAGGTTTATTAAATAGAATATGTTGGTCCGTCTGCTGGTATTTTGTATCCCACTCAGCCCGTGTTCGCCCTGAAAGGCAGGACTGGAAACCGGCCTCCTAAATGATCTAAACTGTGTCGACGGAGACGTAAAAGCGCCTGCATAAAGAAATAAATTTAAAAAATAAATAAGCAAATATCTATATATATATACAGTGGAATCCTGTTATAACGAGAGGGAGGGGACCGGTACAAAATGTGCGTTATAGCAGGATTCTCGTTGTAAGGGATCCAGGCCAAATCTATGAGTTTAAGTGTTCTGTTTATTTCTTTTTGTTATCTCCTCTGATGATGGCTTTGTTCAACATGACTTCTAGGTCTTACTTGATCAAAAATTGAATCAGGTTTCTTTCTCTAGCGTTAGCGATGTTGACAGCTTGGCGCTTGCTATCAGAACGAAAGTTCTCTAGGCTAACTCGCCCGCTGTGTTTTCCCAACCCCACCACACCCTGTGGTACGTTCCCGCTTCTGCTTGCGCACATCACACATTCGCCTCATGATCCATCACAGCATTGTAACCTCTCCATCCTCGCATCGGAGAAGTGAGAGGCATGATAGGCCTAGATAATCTAGACACCCTCCCCACTCATTCGCTCTGGCCTTTATCATTGGCACACATGAGCTGTCCCATTTTTTGTTTCGCTAGATCACCAACAAGTTTCTCAACTGGCAAGGTTTTTTATCGTGTATAAATGGGCTATGCGCTGTGCACAGCAACTGCAATATTCCGCTATAACCGACTCGCGCGTTTGTTTTATTGCACTATAGCAGTATTTTATTTACAAAGATAAAGAAGGAAAAAAAACCCGGGGTTTTAGAATAATGTCTTTATAACAGACTTCTCGTTACTTCAGGACTCGTTATAAGTGGATTCCACTGAATATATTTTACATAATATGCATTTTATATGCATGAATATATATTTATATATA